CTATGTCCATATAAATTAATACATATAAATTTATGAAAATTACAACTCCGCAATACCATTGATACAAATTAAAACGGACCCGTTAAACAAGCTATTAATTATTTCAAAACAACACATGTAATTCGGTAATTCAATAAAGTTTCAACAATTTACAAACAAATATAATTTTACAAAATCTAAAAGAAACCATAACAAGTAAAAAATTATACATTCATATACTACAAGTTTGTTTGAGAAATAACAATGAAACATGTACATATACTAAAAAAAAAAATTACATTTAAATGTTAAAATTTTAAAAGATAGAATTACTTAAAAAAGATGATAAAATCCGTCGGTAAATCAAATAACGGATGTTGTGACCACAAAACTTTAAGAAATATGACTTGTTGTGCTGAGAAAAGGGAGATTTTTTTTTTTTTTTTGGGGGGGGGGGGGGGCTGGTTGTTTGCACTAAGGGAAAGTTGGGATAGGGAAGAAGAAGGAGAAATAGGGAAGGGGAGGGTCGGCAGAGTGGGCATATATTAACTTTTATCGACGGATTCACGGACATAATTATTTTGTCTGTGATTCTGTTAGCTATTTTGACGGTAAACAAGGCACGTCACTGTATGGAGATTTCAATTTGAATCCCTTAGTGATTCCGTTGGCATTTCAAACGGTGAATTGGTCACGTCAATGTACAGAGTTGCCATTTTTGATCCCTTGGTGATTCTGTCGGTAAAATCATTCGCAAAAACCACGTTAGCGAACCGCCTTTTTCTTTGTAATTCTAAATATTCTGTCCGTCATTCCATCGATAAATACCGACTGAATGTGTTCGTCGGTAAATACCGGCGGAATTACGGACGGAAAAAATTCCATCAGTAATTGTGACCTCAAATTAGCGATAGAAGTATTCTGTCGGTAATGCCATTGGTATTAAGTGAATTTCTGGTAGTGAAGGTTCAAGTCAGATTTTTATGCTAGATGATTTGCAACTTGGGGGGGTTTTGGACATTATCTAGGCTAGGTTTAGTCGTTATTGTCGATGTTTATGTACCATGGCTGATTTTTCACATTAGGAGCAGCAAGCTCCTTAAGTGTTTGTTGTTGTGCAACAACCATAGTGTTGATGTGAGCTTCCTTTCGTAACTTGCGTAAAGTATTTTCTCTATTTTGAGATCCACCTGCACTTAACTCCGGTTAGTAGAACGGGTTACAGGCATAAATCGTCAAGAAAACTCAAAAGAAACCAACCACACAAGAGATCAAAAACAATGCAAGTTGTACAAAATCCTATGTTAGAAAACTAAAATTGCCTAAAAACCCTAGAAAACAGTGGAATTTGGCCTCGATAGGGTGGGGATAATACCGCAACAAGCAAAAAATTTTGTTTCTTTTTTTTAGAAAAAGAAATAACAATCACAGCAAATAAAAATAATAGCACAAGAATCAACTAAAATTACTTACCTGGCAACAGCACCAAAATTTGTTGCGATGTCGTCGTTGCACAAATTAATTACCTTAGCTTAAAACACAACACACAAAATCATATAGAGCAAGCAAGGGGTCAATCCCACGAGGAAGGTTCAAGTCAGATTTTATGCTAGATGATATGCAACTTGGGGGGGGTTTTGGACATTATCTAGGCTAAAGCAAAAGAAATTAGAAAACTATCAAGTGAAATTAAATAAAATCAGAAAATTATCAAGAGAACAAACCTTGGTCGCAAATACACATCCACCTATAAAAATCAGAACTGATCATGGAAACGAAACATCAATTTATATTCTAAATATTTATCTCTTCTTAACATTGGTTACTTAACAGATTCACCATATAACTAACCCTAACCATCAAACAACCATAGTGTCCATACTAGTAATTTAATTCAATGGCAACCTTAAGAACTAGATAAGTTGATTAATCAAGAAAACTTAACTATCCATAATCTATGTTTGATTTGATTGAATGTTCTCCCTAAGATTAATAATGTAGATCCACCACAATTATTAAACTCAATTGCTTCACAAGTTCATATACCATAACTCCAGTTTTGATATCAAACTTAGCAATAGATTGTCTACAATAATAACTTAGAGTACGCTCTAGCAATTAAAATAAACAATCATAGGAAAAATAAACATAGGAGAACAAATATATTCATCATATAAACTGAAAAGAAAAGGTAAAATAAATCTCACAGTTCTTGAAATTCGAAGGTTTCCGTGTCCTTGCAACCAAGAAAAAGTGTTTAACCTTGCATGTTTGTTGAACAACTAATCAAAAAGAAGGAAGAATATGTAATTTCAAGTTTCTTAGAGGAGAGGGACATTTTTCTCCTCTCGGCTAGCTGCCCCCCTTCTCTTCTCTCATTCTTTTTATATCCTAGTAAACCCTAATCTTTATTTTACAAAATAGTCCTCCCTTAAGTAGATAGTTTACATTTAAGTACTTCAATAACTATTTTTCTAAAAAAAAAGAAATAGCCTTGCATGAAATCTTCAAGCTTTGACTTAGAGGAGGTAAATTACTGAAATAAAACTTAGATATCAGTTTAGATGCTTCGGAACGTAATTTAAACTCGTTTCTTCACGAAACCTGTTTGCTGGCAGAATTCAGTTGTCATCTTTGAAAAATATTATCTCCCTCATATGACATCATTTTTAGCTGAAATTTGGAGTGTTTATGCCTTTGATTAAGGAATCCAAAACAGTTAAGTTTGCATCAATTGGACTTCTGTAGCTCCAGATATTCAAGTTGAAATGGTCGGAGGTCAACACTGGTAGATTGTGAGATTTGACTTTGAAGGCTGAGATTTTCATGCTCTTTCTTATTTTATTTTCTTGCCTTAGATTTAAAGAAAGGTATGGATGTTAGCTTTTTAATGCCACTAAAATCACTTTATTTCAACCTCTAGAGCTCACGCTCTGCACAAAACATCGATTGAAGGTTAAATCTGTCAATTACCTCAAATTTATTTTTTTTTGTATATTTTATTTAAAAGTACCTTCAAAATATAAAATAAATAATATCAAGATATTTTATATATAAAATATAGATAAAATTATCAAATAATATGATTGCATCATTGAACTCACTGCAGGTTGTACCAAATAATATGATTGTATTGAGACCACTACTTCTACTGGGGTGACTAGTAAAGGAGCTAAGGGTGGTGAAGCTGCCAGTTGTGATGATGTTCACGTCAGCTTTGATCCTGATGCTAGCTGGGGTGCTTGGACCCAATGCATGCCGAGGCCGAGGCAATGGCTGAAGAATGGGAAAAGAGCAAACGACAATACATGCCTCGCAGTAGGGGGCTCTCTGCAGGTGGTGGCCCTCGTGCGACCACTCAGAATTCCAAAGGCAAAGAAATAGCTGGCGGGTCTGTGGCCACGCCTAGGGCACGGGTTTTTGATGGATCTTCAGTACGGGTGGCAACCAGTAATGAGACAAGAAGACTTTCCACTAGAGCATCTGGTAGTGGTAGGAAATCTCCTACCCCACCTACTCTGTAATGCATATCTACCGCTGGAATATCAGAGGGCTGAACAACCCCCTGAAACAACAACATGAGGTTGCTAACCTCATGAAGAAAAATGGTATTGATGTCTGTTGTTTTTTAGAAACTAAGCTTGCCTTATCCAAGCTTCAATTTATGCACAGGTTTCGGTTGAAAAATTGGAAGTTCCTCTCCAATGTGGATGTTGCACGCTATGCAAGAATTGTTGTGTATTGGAATCCTGCCACTGTTGATACTGAGCTTCTTGCTGTCTCAGAACAAGGACTCCCATGTTTCTATCAGGTGTTTAGCCAGCCACCTTGAGTTTGTCGCCACCTTTGTTTATGGTCTTAACACCATTACAGCTAGACGATGTCTATGGAATGATTTGCGGCAATTGGGCTCCTGCAATGCCTTGGATTATCATGGGTGACGTCAACTCCATTCTCTCTCAGCAGGACAAGTATAATGGTGAACCTAAGCTGCTGCCTGATATGGTCTTATTATGGTCTCTTTTGCTTTGAACATGGTACTTGCTGCTGGGTTCAACGGTTGATGATTAGATGAATATGAGCTGTTATGGTGCTCCTTTCACCCAGGTTTTTGTCTGTTGGTTTTCATCTAGTCTGCTGTGTACTGCTTGCTTGCTGTTGCAGCCCGATTGTTATGTGCTGTACTTTTGGGAAGTATATGACTCGCTTCTTTTGTTGGTTAACTTCAGCACCTATTACACTTATAGGTTCCTAAGTTAACCAATTTCATCCGTGTTCCGTTACAATTTATAGATACAAGTCACTTCAAAAGTGCCAAATGGCAACTATTCAACTAGTGTGTTTGTTCTTACAAAATACAAACACCCGTATCATATCATGTGAATATATAGCTTTTTTCAAAATGTGTGGTCGTGAAACAAATTTTCTTAAGCACCTTGTACCTTGTTAATGTGATGTCCTTGTTACTGTATAAAATAATTTCAAATATTATAAGTAATTTAAAACATAATAATAGATAATTAAAGCAATATTAACATTTGTTTTTCACTCATGGCTTAAAAGAGTATAATTCTTCTATTTTTCCCATAATTATGTAATACCGCTCTTATTATTCTGTCTATTACCGAGACTAATTACAATACTCAAACCCAGTCTATAACAACCCGGCTTTTCAAGCCCCAAACAACAGTAATATTTGTTTTTCTTTATACTTGACACACATTGTGTCAGTAATCGGCGAGCCTGTTTCCTCACATCATCAAAATACAATCTATACATCAACAATAATCAACATTTCATTTAAAAATAAATTTTACATAAACATATAATATTATGTTTGCATGATTAGAAGTTCACATTAAAATTATACATATATAGATATGAGTTAGCATTCCTATCCTACTAATAGTCATTATGAATTTAAACAAAAGGAGCCAATAAAAGTTATATGTTTAGTTCATTGATTCATACAAAAAACATCATGATTTAGAATGCAACTACATGATTCCTTGCAAAAGATAGGTGCTCGTGTATTGGGTTTCCTAGGCATCTCATTGATGTGACGACCCTGTTGCAGTGGAAAACATTTAAGAGAATGCAATTACTTAATAATAATAATGATAATTAAACGGTCTGGCAGTTTAATGAAGCATTAACATTATCCCATGTTTGATGCATGATATTTATAGTTTCTTCATGTACTTGTATAAACAACTTGTAGTACATTTAGATACACCAATTCTTGCAATCAACCATAATCTTAAACCCGACTATCCTCTTAAGGCATCATTTACTGAGATTAACCGTTCACTCATCCCGGACATCCACTTCGGATGCCATCAACCAAAGTTAATCAACCGTTGTCCCGGTCATCCAATCAGATGCCTTTAACCGAAGCTAATCAATCGCTTGTCCTGGTCATCCATTCAGATACCATTAGCCGAAGCTAATTGTTTATTTGTCCCGATCATCCATTCGGATGCCATTAGCCGAGGCTAATCAGTCCTTTGTCCCGGTCATCCCTTCGGATGCCATTAGCCAAAGCTAATCAACCATTTGTCAACATTTAAACACTTGACAATCTGATATCTATTCTAACACAATATGGTAACATTCATGATAAAGTATCTCATTATTTAATGTATGAAAAAGGAAGGCGAAAGTCACCTACCTACTCCACCTGTGGGTTGTTCTTGTCTTGACGATGGTCTAATCCCGACTGCACCACCTAAGACATCAATGGCCACAAATCAGTGCATTTGTATTTTTAAATCACATTCGTCACCACACTTATTTCAAGAGTTCATATATTCACATTCAAGTGTTCCACATTTTACACCATCATACTATGAAATTGTTAGTAGCATTGAAGTCATTTCTGCCTAGGAGGCTTAATGTAGAAATCAACGCGAGAACTGGTTCACTACAGGCTGTCCAATTTGGCAGCGAAAACTGTTTCACTGCAGGCGGTCAATTCGACAACGAAAACTGTTTCACTGTAGGCGGTCATTTCGGCATAGAAAACTAGTTCGTTGCAGGCTGCCAATTCAGCAACAAAAACTGTTTCGCTGCTGGCGCCACAATTTTGGCAACAAATGCTAACTCGTAGTAGACAACTCAGTTTCGACAGCGAATCACAATTTCGCTGCACAACACACAATTCGGCAACGAATGCTAATTCGCTGCAGAAGGCTCAGTTTCGGCAGCGAATCACAAATTCGCTACAGACAACTCAGTTTCAACAGCGAATGCTAATTCACTGCAGCCAACATAGTTTTGATAGCAAATCACAATTTCACTGCAGAACACACAATTCGACAGCGAATGTTAATTCATTGCAGAAAACTCAATATCGGCAGCGAATCACAAATTCGTTGCAGATAACTCAATTTTGGCAGCGAATGCTAATTCGCTGCAGCTGATATAGTTTCGACAGCGAATCACAATTTCGCTGCAAAACACACAATTCGGCAGCGAATCACAATTTCGCTGCAGAACACACAGTTCGGCAGCGAATGTTAATTCATTGCAGAAAACTCAGTGTCGGCAGCGAATCACAAATTCGCTGCAGATAACTCAGTTTTGGCAGCGAATGCTAATTCGTTGCAGCTGACATAGTTTAGACAGCGAATCACAATTTTGTTGTAGAACACACAATTCGACAGCGAATCACAAATTCGCTGTAGACAACTCAGTTTCGGCAGCAAATGCTAATTCGCTACAGCCGACACAGTTTCGGTAGCGAATCATAAATTTTGCTGCAGAACACCCAATTCGGCAGCGAAATGCTAGTTCGCTGCAGAAAACTCAATTTCAGCAGCCAATCCCAAATTCGCTGCAGACAACTCAATTTCGGCAATGAATGCTAATTCGTTGCAGTCAACACAATTTCGACAGCGAATCACAATTTCGCTACAGAACACACAATTCCGCAGCAAATGTTAATTCGCTGCAAAAGACTTAGTTTCGACACCAAATCCCAAATTCGCTGTAGACAACTCAGTTTTGGCAGCAAATGCTAATTCGCTGTAGCCAACACAGTTTCGGCAGCGAATCATAATTTCACCGCAGAACACACAATTCGGCAGCGAATGCTAATTCACTACAGAAGACTTAGTTTCGGCATCGAATCACAAATTCGCTACAGACAACTCAATTTTGGTAGCGAATGCTAATTCGCTGCAGCCAACACAGTTTCGGCAGTGAATCACAATTTTGCTGAGAACACTCATTTTGGCATGAACACACACCACACATGCTGCAACAACCCCATCATATAAACTGTCACTAAGTTCCAACAAAACACACACATTGAAAACATCAATTTCAGCACATAATCCTTCAACAAATCCCAGCTGAACACAAACATTGGAAACCATCAATTACAACATATAATCTTTTAATAATTTCCAACAGAACACACACATTGAAACCATCAATTTCAACACATAATCCTTCATCAAATTCCAGTAGAACACACACAAGGCACTCTCTACTGGTTTGGTTTTTGTTTCTGTTGGGAAAGAGAAAGGAAAGAGCAACATGCAACTGCAACAGACAACTTTGGGAAGAGCAAGGGTCACCTTCTCTCTCCTCCTTATATTTATACTCCCCATTAAATGAGGTGGGGTGTTTGGGGTTGGTTTAGGTGTGTTCTAATCCT